AGCGGTCTCCCTCAGCTTCTGGCGATGAGGGCTTGGGAGTTGGGTGACGTGAAAATTTCCGCGATATCAACACTGGCAGCTTAGATCAGGTCGTCAACAAATCGGAAGGTTGGCAGTTCCCAGCTCCTTGCTGCATATCCTTGAGCTAGATACTGAACCCCAAATTGCTGTTGTTGTTCGATGTCCTGTAGAAGTGAAATACTGCCACATTTTAGACCGTTTATTGGCTAGTGCGCAATGTTAACTAGTGATGACATGTGCTGTCTTGCCTGTAACGTCCACACCAGAGAGCAAATATTTCAAGACAGATCTTGTACCGAACAGAAGCTGCTGACATCTGCAGTGTGATTTGATCAGGACGGTAGACACTGGCACAGTGTTTTGGTAGCCAACCTAGGAAAAGCGCAACAAATGTTAAGAAATAAGGATTTAAAATGTTTGTGTTTTTTAGTTGAAATTGTTTCAGGGAGGTGTTGATTAACTGTATAGTAATTTTGGATGTTGCATCATTACTCATTAAAAACACATAGAAGTTATCCTTAAAAATGTTTAGTTACTTCTTACTAGTGTAGTAGTCCAACAATGAAATGGAGTTTTTCCAGTGTTCATCAAAACGCTGATAGAATACAGCATCCACTATATATCCTAAACCTCCCTCCACACACCAGATCTCTCCAGCAACACTAGAGGGGCCCATCACACACTGAGTAGAGTAAATGTCAGACTGGCTTTTAGTCATTGGCAAGAGCTTTGTGAAATAAAAGGCTGCAGACAAATGCAAAGACTTTCTGTTGGACTATAAAGTTGTCAACTTGCTTGGTGTTTGGCTGTGTTACGCCTCCTTCACATAGACCGCCTGAGCAGCACATAGACTGCCTGAGCAGCACATAGACTCTCCGGTGGGTGATGTCTGACAGGTGCGCAGAGTTCACACCATTGACAGTATGGTTCACACAGAGCATGTCAGATGCGTGACTGCTGCTGCTAGCCCTATGTTTCCCAATACACTTTTCACTGTCCATGAAAGATCAAAATTTCATTTAACTTACAAGGCCATATAGTTTAAATGTAAATGTGAAGAGTGGTAACCAGAAAGCACGTGTGGTTTGTTTACCCCAGAGAGAGAGGGGCAGTGGAAAGATACTGCAGCTCACTTCTAGAAATTCTTTCAAGAGTGAAGTAGAGTTAAACAAAATATTACTTCAGTGCTTTCACTTTGAAAAGGGTGTTTAAACTATACTGAAATAGTGTATATGACGACCTATCTATTCTCTTTTGCTTGCGGTAAAAAACAGACGAGACCTCGATGCTGCAGATGCGCGAGACGCACCACTCTAATCAGTTAACGGGGCGCCGAAATAAAAGGCAAGACGTTCCGCCATGCGGGCGGTGTGACCAGGATTTTCAAACCCTTTCAAGGGAAAAGCACTGTAGTAATATTTTATCTTTATTTATAAATAATCTTTTATTTAACACAGAATTTCTGGAAGTGAACAGGTTTAAGTGCACTATCTTTCCAATGATCCAGTTGTCAACTAGATAGTTTTTGATCACAAAGAATGTAAATCATAACAAAGTACAACTCTCAATATTAATAACAGTGGTATTGCACCCAGGGGCGCCAAATTGCACAAATGCTAAATCTTACATAATGTTGCTTCAATATTTGGCTTGTTTTTGGAGTTGTGGTTGCTTATTTGTCTCGCGAGAGTATGCTTCACTCGTGCCCACTAATTAACGAATCTTACCCCATCAGATAGAACTGTCGAGTCGTTACACTCCATTTCTATCTTCAGTGGAGTGGGCGGATTAAAAAAAACTGGACCCAGGCAATAACACAACTTTCCAATATATTGTTCACATTAACAATTGTTTGTCAACGTTATTCGAACATAACACAAAGCGAACAGGCTAAGTCATAAGTATATCCACGTAACGTTATCCCGCTTCGTTACGACAAACAACAACCAGGTTCAACTAGCGTACATAACGGCCTAGCATCACACATCCACACTAACAAGCTAACACAACTTAGCAGCAACGGGCCAGAAGAAACCAGTTACGTTCATATGGTTAGACTGCTTGCAGGCTTAAACACAGCGTGATATCAATAATAACTAACGCAGCTACAGACTCCCTAAGGTAACAGAAGAGAACGTTTACATTTTGCTCTCTCACCGTCTGTCTTATGTTAATAATGCCACGCAAATACCGCCATCTTGGAGAATGACGAGCACTGTGGGAACTTCTTCTTCTTCTTCTTCTTCTTCTTCTGCTTCTGCTTGTAGGACACTACACGTATTACTGCCTTCTGTAGGACAAACAATTAACTGACGCCATCACACATTGTCGTATATAATGCTGAATCATACAGGAAGTGTAAAACTGCTTTTGTGATCAGCTGGTGATTCTCATTTTGGCCAAAGAAAAATTTAATAGAAAATGACTAATCCATACACTTCATTGATAAACCACAGAATAGCTTAATGAGCCCACGCATGTGCCTGTTCTCAGCTGTAGGTAACTTACATGCTGCTGTCGTCTGTCATTGTCTAGAGATCAGTGGGGAAACGTTCAGCGTCACGTTACTACGTCACTCACGTCACCCGAGTTGCACTGCCGCGAGAACGTGACGTAATTCCCTGTCTTGTCCCACTTATAGGACGGTAATTCCCTGTCTGTTCCCACTGTATAGCGTTCCATTTGTGCTTTGGGCGTTACGAGTCGGACAGAACCCATGGACGCCACCAGTGCAGCAGCTGTGATTTGTATTGTTTGTGGCTCATCTAAACAAGCTCAATGGTGAAATAGATAATGTCTTTTTCTACAGAAACACTAACATTTCAAGTAATTCCGTTATTGCAAGCCGTTACATTTCAATTGAATATTTTGCCATTTTCCGCTATTTCAGTTCAACAAGTGCTGTGGGTTTGTCTTCGGAGCACCAGGGGCATGGCGGGCTAATGTTATGTTCGCGTACATTAGCCGTTATTTAGCAAAACGCAGCTCGGGAAACAGAAACTGGTACCATTGTATTGCATGCACAACAAAACACCGTGCAATGCATTAAATGTGGTGGACCGGACTAAAGCAGCAATGTAAACAAGTTGTACGGGGAGCATTTAAATCGACATAAAAACGACCACGTAGTACAAATACAAAGAAAACTACATCTCAATAAATGGGCGGCAGCATCTTTGTTTTGCGAGTTCGTACGTTCCTGCTCGTTTCAACTTCTGTACTCTGAGGCTTAGGGTTATATTATTATTGATTTATATTTATTATGTAGACATTAGGATCTGCTGCTCCCACGAGATCTGGGTCTGTATGCTTTTTGTATCTTTTCAGTTCACAACTTCTGCTGGTCAGAGCTCGTCTGCTGATAACATTAAGTTAGAATTTGTATTGGGTAGTAAAAGCAGCATTTTTAAAATAGCCAAGCACCCTGTATCATAGTACATGTTGACGTTTTTAGACAAACCAAATACGTTTGGAAATCGGTCCAAAATCCAGCGAATAATTCTACTTTGAGATTTGAGGGTTCCTCTTTTCCTTCCTAAGTTGATGCACCGCTGCCTGGCTGCTAGCCCTGTTTCCCAGGATGGGCCGCTCTAGTGGGCGGCAGCAGTCGATGCGGCGTCTATGCTCTGAGGTACCCCTTGAGTTGGAACGGCTGAAATTCCGACCAAAAGGGGGTGTGTCTCGGTGAAATGTCGCGAGATAGCTGCGAGATTTCCAACTCGGACGGTCGGTTTCCGAGACAAATGGAAAGCACCAAAATGGTGTTTGTCACTCTGGTCTGTTAAGCAGCATATTTGCTACTGATGCGTTTTGACTCTTAAACTGTTGTGGTCCGGGTAGACTAACATACCGTTTTAGGTATGTTGTGTTCTGTGAGCATAGTTTACCATGGCCCACCTTGGTCTATATTGGTCATCGTTGCCTACTGTATCTAACGTTATATGGGATTACTACACTGATATCGCCTGTCTGCTAGCTAGATACTTGTCATTGTGGTGGTCAAAGCAATGTTTTTTTTAATTATTATTATTTTGTTACTCGCTATGAATGTGTTATTAAACATTTATAGTTACGTGGTTCATATCCACTGTCTACCAGCCAAAGCTTATAGACTCACCCTAAACCTGTGTTGGCAAATTAGCTAGTCTATGTTTGTCATTCCAGTAAGTAGAACAGTGGATTGAAAACTCATTTTGATCAGCTCTTATTTACCCTGTTAAAGACACTTTCTGTATCTGTTTTAAATGTAAAGCCCCCTAGTGTTCTTTGGACAAAAAACCTTTATTTCTTGACAAGGTTTTAATTGTGAAACATTTGCAGTAATGGCTTCATTGACAGTATATATAATGGACACAGCTTCTGGGTCTGTAAAGTAAAGCCAACGCAGACTTAAAACCTGCATTTTACGTAAAGGCCAGCAGTCAATGCATGTTTACTGCAGTTGATGGAGCTCCCCATTGACTGCAATAAAAACAAAAAACGATACCATGTGCTGTAGTGGAGAAATTAGCCGACTTCTCACTCGATTTATTAGCTCAGTAAACAGTTTACCAATAAGTTCATCTCTTAAAAAATGTATTTTCCGGCAAGTGTGCCTCATGTCACGGAAGCCATTGCTGTAATTACATGGTTCAATCACTATGTCAGATTTCCTTCAATGTGCTATTCCTGGTGGCTTGCTTCGGAGCAGCTGAGTCACATGCAACACCAAGTGGTAAAATTGGGTATTACTGGTCTGGTCTGGTCTTACGCTTAAAACAACTCTATCTAAGATTTGGTATTTGATGCGATTTGGCACCCCCAGTTGCAATACCACTGTGGTAAACATGGACAGCCTTAAGTTTGTTATGTCTACATTACTTATAATCATAAGCTACAGAGTCAACAACTTTGCTAATCCCAAAATTCCACCAGGCTCAGGTTTAGGACGTTGTGTCTGGTGATCTGCGCATCTTCAAATCCCACCAAAAGCATTTTTAGAAGCAGAGAACAATATGTTCACCTTAGTAACAATTGCCCAGAAGTCCTGGTTGATATTAGATAACAATAAATTAGATTTTGACTGAGGCTGTCACTCTGATTGGCATTAAAATGAGGAATGGCTGTATATAGGGGATAACCTTCATTCTCTCTCCTTCTTTAATCTGACTAATTGGGGGCAAAAATATAAAGCAATCTTGTTTTATGCTAATATGTCAAACATTATTGAAGAAATATCAGTAGTTGTTTTAAGAAGCTTTGTCAATTATAGTGCTGTGCTACTTCCCCCTAGGCAGCCAGAGAGGAACTTGGAATAGGATGCAAGAGCAGTGCAGATAAAGGAACACACGCAGAACAGGACAGGACGGCAGAGAGGGGGAGAGAAAGAGAGAGGACATACAGTCAGGCTCTAGCCAGAACAACATCTCTGTGACTAACCGCTGAATCCCTGTAATGCAGGAGAACTGATGATCCAACGCACCAGAGGTAAGAATCAGAGATATATGCATGTCTCTTTCTGCCTCTTACTGTTTTCTGCAGTTGCAGTTGTGGAGCACAGCATGTGTGTGCGTGTGAGAGAGAGAGACAGACAGAGAGAGAGAGAGAAAGAGCTAAACAGAGGGAGTAATAGATCTTGTTACCTCAGACTGCAGGACAGTGTAATAAGCCTAGGGTTTTGCTGCTGTGCTGTCCTTGTGTGGATGTGTGTGTTTGAGAGGGCCTGTTTTGTACCTGTGTGGAATACATTACATTTACATGAGTTGTTACAGTTTTCCTGCTATCAGATAGAGAACAGTGTCTCTGTGCATGTTAACAGCTTCAGCGAGCTGTGTCATCGCATCTTGACAGCGTAGTCTAACGCCGCAGTACCACCACCCCCTCCACTCCCCTAACCCAACCACACACTCTATAGTCCCCTCTGTCACTTTCCCTTGCTGTATCCTACTAGTTTCACTCACTGTGATTCTGCAAGCTGGGCTAAATGGACTGGACAAGCTCCTCTTGGCTTGGCTTGGCTTGGCTCTGGGTTTTTTTCCATAGACAGAAAGCCTTATTTAAAGTCTGATTGACATTAAATGTAAGAATGAAAATTAACTATCCAGCCTGGGAACATAACCTTACTCATGAATAGGGTTGGGTATCATTTGAATTCTGTCAATTCCCACTCATACTCTGCCTATCAATTCCGGTTCTTATCGACTCCCAGTTTTAATGGTACTTTATCATTTGACTGGTGGGCAATGTCAGTTCCAAGGTCTTTGCCAATTTAATTAGCATCAAATAAAAATACCGTATTGTAACAATTATGTTACATGTAGGAAATAGGAGCTAATAAATGTCATTTTAGTCTGCTTCCATTACAGTGGACAAACCTAACATATACGACTACCTTATTAATTTGGATATCTGTCAATTTAATATGCTGTTTTGGTCGTCCGTCCAATGTGACGTTACTATAAACCAATTACATAACTGGTGTGAAGCAGAATCGCTGTTTCTATTTTGATAGCCAATTGTGTTTATCAAGGGACCTTTTACTATGAGCTAAGAGAACACGTCATTTACTCTGTAACATCATTAACTAACTTGTGATGACGTGTTTGTCACAGATGTACACACATTGACTATCCAGAGGGTTGTTTCACAAAATCCAGATAGCGGACTAAGACAGGATTTTCCAGTTATCCTGGCTGAATTTAGCACTCAGTCGGTTGCATGAAAGCAGCAGCACATAAGTTACCATGAAGATTTATTCTTTGTAGCTAGCCTGCTCCAGATAAGGCTGAGAGCTAGGCCTGATTAATCCTGTTGTCTTATCTGTTCAGTCGGCTGTCACTCCAATTGGAAACCAATGTGGTTTTACATGTATTTCTTCTGAGTAACATATTCAACCTCGACTGCTCACTTTTAAGGCAGAATATACAACTATTCATTTGTGCAAAGGACAGTCAACTCCTTGAATGGTATAATTATGACGGTTTCAGTTTAGAGTAGTGGTTTTCCTTTTTTACATAATATAAGCTTTACATAAGTAGGTTTGATTAGTCTCTATTTCAGGATCAGTAACTGGCTTTTGCCTTTATTGAAAAGGAAAGCTGGATATTCAGCTCTACCAGGGGAGCTATATGGTGCCCCAGTGAACGTGCATTTATCCAAATTGCTTAAACTTGACTTCATTTAGCTGCACCTTCTCAGCCTGGTTTAGCCTTTGTGAAACGTATTAAGGCAGGATGCACTGACTAGGCTAGGTCAAGTTATGTCCCACAGTTTACCATTTTTTTGACCATTCACTCTATGAATGCCTCAGATTTCTTTATTATTGTCATTTACTCTTTGGGAAGTAAAGAAAATGTTTACTTTACTTTTATGGCTCAGTGATGTATTCCTGCTCTCAAATGTTTAGATGCTTATTATTATCTTAATTTTGTGTAATGCTTTCTGTACACTTTCACTTGTTCTGTTTTTACCAGAAATATACCAGGATAAGTTTATAACATAAATCACAGTCACCACAATTTAACAAAAAAATTATTAAAGAGGAAAATAATGATATTAAGGAAAATGGTTGGTTCACAGTGAACCAAGAAAAAAGCAGTCTACTGATTTTTCACAAAAACAATAAACACAAATTAGTCTTATGTTCCTTTAGCCTGCTTGTGTTACTGTATTTTACTTAAACGCACTTTTTGTGTTTCCATAAATATATATTTTTTAAAGTATATTTTTGGGGGCTTTTATTGCCTTTATTACAGTTACAGCTGAAGATAGACAGTAAAGGGGGGCAGAGAGGGGATGACACGCAGCAAAGGGCCGCAGGTCGGATTCGAACTGCCACTGCAGCAAGGACTCAGCCTCGGTACATGGGTCACCAGCTCTACCCACTGAGCTATCCAGGTGCCCTCATAAATATCCTTAAGTAACACCTACTAGAGGGCAAGAATTATACCACAGCCAAACGGCAGGTGCCGTGGATGCATAAAAGTTGATTTTCTCATTAAACTACAAGCGACACAGCAAATAAACAAACTCACGCTTCCCATCGTGCTGGACATCAACAGTTGGGTGAGAGTTCTCCTACAAATATACTGGTAACCAGAGACATTCAGAAAGCTGACTAGTTAATGCATCACACACTCAGGTTGCCCACTAGCCCAACTTTCTTAAAGGGGAAGGATGCTGGTAACATCGATATACAGTAGGCTAGCAGTAACACACAGGTGCAGATAGGCTGTGGGTGTGCTAACCAGAGGTGGAGAAGGTATTCAGGTTCATTAAGTAAAAGTATTATTTTTAGTATTCTGCATTCTAAACCTTACTAAGGTAAAATGTATGTAAGTATTATAACAAAATGTTACTGCGGCATTAAACTTTTTACTGGTCTATTAACGGACAAGGTACGTTTTATCAGTCTGTTTTCTGGGAAAAATTGACACAAGCA